CCCCCCCCCCGCCAAAAAAAAAACACATATAAATACACACTAGAAATATACCTACCTTCACCTCTTTAACAATAGCTAGTACTTTCAGAACATCTACTCTGTGCCAAAGACTGTTGTAAGTGCTTTTTATGATTTAATACATTTAATCCTCACAATTGCTCTAGCATATAGAGGTACAAAGAGGTTAAGTAACTTGCCTCATATTGTAAACTATGAAGTGATAGAGCTGAGAATCAAGGCCATAAAATATGCAGCAGATGCACTTCTCCAGTATGTACTCATAGAAAGGCAGACACTAATCACCCATGCAGAGGGACATCCACATATATAAGAACATGCCCATGAACACACCAATCCAAACATGTTTATCTTTCGTCAAGTTGGCCACGCTACACATCACTTTACTGACCAGTCTAACACACAAGAAAGACCCAACAACATACATTGATATCTGAGGCTATTTAGGAACAAATGATATGTTTTTGATTACTGAACATCTTCTGGTTATCTCATTCAGTCTGCCATGTATTTCAACTCCCTGCCTGTGGTTTTATATACTCAGTGTTACTGACTCATAACTAGCCCTCCTCATTCATCTCTATACTACCCTCATTCCTTATTTTATCCCCTTAAGGCATTGGTCTCTCATAAAAATGTCATTCTCCTTCCTTCCTATATAGAGTGACTTAATGTATGATAAGCTCAGTGTCCTGATTGATGTCCTGTCTGAGGAGGCAACAGCTCCCTCTACAGAGAAAAGTCCTAATGTCTATGCAGACAGTAGCAAGGCAGATGGAAAGTCCTTCCTTCCTCAAATAGACCACATAAACAAGTGCAAGCTGGAATTGGCCACAAAGGCCCGGAATCTCCAGAAATCCTTGAAACTCATCATATTCCAAGTTGAACAAGGTAAGGTGCTAAGGGTTGTGGTCACTGAGGTAGGGGAAAGAGAAGATCCAAGTGCATGGTTCACTGGTCCCCCACACTCTAAATTTGCTGACTTGCTGACTTCTCTTACAGAATCTGATTAGATCCTGCATTGATTTTTCTTCCAAAGTCAGTCCTAAGACTTTGCTGATTTGAAAAACCTCAGTCTTGATAAGCTTCCCCTTTGACGACTTCTATCCCCCAGACACTCAACTCTTGCTAACTCTCAACTTAAACCAGTGCAGGTGCTAAGTAGCCTGGCTCAAAATTCTGTCAGCTTGTAATACAAGCCATGAAAAAATTTTCCACTTCCTCTATTTAGTTCCTCCCATAAAGCCTGTGACTATTTTAGAAAGAAAATGGGATCCATCTCTGCATGTCTTGCACAGTAGTTATCAGGCATAAGGGCCTTGAGAGTGGTCTAGGTGGCTGACACTGATTGCCATTACTCAGAACTCATGGCTGTCTGTAAGCTTCCAATTCAGTATAAAAATTTTAACTCCCCCAACTTCATTTAACAATTTGGTGACCACTCCTTGTCTATGATTTTTTTTTGGAAACAACAGGAGGAGAAGACCCAGTGTGCTTTAACTGAACTATTGGAATTGAGCAGAAGTCCTACAGAGCCAGAAAGGCCATTGACTGGCTTTTGACTGTTGGCCCTGCTGCTTTCCCTTTCTTGGGACCTTTACTAATTACCTCAGCCTAACTTTTGGGAAAGAAAGGAAATCTTCTTTTTGCACTATGGAAGAATTAAACAGTCATTTTCTCTATATTTCTGTAGTTAGTTTCCAAGTGGTGGGAATCAGATTAATAAGATTATAGCCATAACTCTGTCTCAGCCCACCATCAGCACATATGGTAAATTTAGAGGCACAACTCTGGCTATGGGACAGAGAAAAGATTCCGGATAAGGTATGTATTGAACCTATGAGCTTTGACAGGCCAAGCCTGAAGTCTGGACAAAAGTCATGTGAGTGAATGAACAAAAAAAAATAGAAGAACAGAAGGTTTCCCACCCTGCTCCCCACATCCTCCACACTGAGCTTCTGCTCATAACCACATGTACTGAGTGACAGAAAAAGAGTAAGGAGTAAAACAGAAAGAGCTCAGGCATGGATATGAGAAGACATGGGAGCAACACTGTAAGGAAGCTGAGAACACAAACAGCATCATGGAGGAGAGAAACAGTCAAATGGGAGTCTATGTTATCTGCCCACACATCTATTGCCATTAACTGAAAAAAATATAAGCTAAATAAATATGACCAATCCTCCTTTTCTCCCTCCTCTTCCTCTATAGTTCTAAATGAGGAAAGCAGACAGACAATATCAGTTAAGAACTTTCATTCAACTTTCTTCCGGGAATATGACTCAGAGGATGTTAACCACACAAGCCTAAGACACCGTAAGGATCTTTCTCTTCTCTTATTCTAGCACTCTTCACTATCATTTAGTTTCCAAAGAATACATATATCTTTTCCACACATCCTTCTTGAGCCACAACCCTACTCTGCAGCAGATACTCCTTTCTCTTTCCTAGAAACCTCACACTATCAGATTCTATGCCAATATCCAGAGTCATGACCCTTTAAGCACTTTGAAGTGTCTGGACTGATGACATCTAAGACATGAAGCTATTTTCACTGACAACAAACAAGTAATCTGGCCTGGCTATTCTCTAAGTGTAAGCCCCTATCCAGCCAAAATGATCCCCATTTGGAGTAAGAACCCTGAGTGTTATCTAGAAGAAAGTCATTGACCTTGATCCTGCCCCTACAGATTAAATAGAGTGAAATAAAGTGATAGAAAGGTTCTTTTGTTTCTATCTGACACTAAGGCGATGTCTATTGTGTCTAGGTTCTTATCATGGCACCCTGACTTCTATATCTTTTCTCAAAAGTGAGGACCTAGATAACCTTAACTTGGAACACTTACATTTTACACCTGAAACTATGTAAGTATTGTATTAGTCCATTACTGTGTTGCTAAACAGAAATACCTGAGGATGGCTGATTCATAAGGAATATAGGTGTATTTGGCTCATTACTCTGGTAGTTGGAAAGTCCAAAAGCACTGGAATAATATTTGGTTCATTTCTGGTTGTGAGTCATAACATGACTGACAGAAGCAGGCAGGACAGCAGCCAGGTGGAGAGAAAGAAGAGGAAACAGACTTTTCTACTTCTTCTCTTCCTCCCTCCCATGCTCCCAGCCAATTGGATAGTGCTCTCCTATTAGGCCTTGCCTCACTACTCCCAAAGTCATTACACTGTGAACCTAAGCTTCAAGAACATAAATCTTTGGGAGACAAACCATGGGACCAGCAGTTAGCGAACCATTATCCCAGTCACATCAGTCTATCACCTTTTAATGGTTTCTTTTTGATTTTTAAGATCAAAGACTGTATATCAAGAGTCAAATCCTGACTCTACTTACTGCTTGTTTGACCTATATAAGTGGCTTAACCAATCTGAGCCTCAATTTCCTCACATGCAAAATGAATACTATTAAAAAAAAACTTATAAAATTTGGGACCAGCAGTTGGTATAATGGCTATGTCGTTGGACTTCCATGTAGTTGACCGTGGTTTGAGTCCTGGACCCAGTGGCTTAAACTCACACCGGGCATATGCGCATGTATGCCCAAGATCCTGAGAGAAAAGAGGAGAAGGGATTGTGGTATGGCCATCCCCCCTGGGGGGTGATTTCTTGCTTTCTGTTTCTCTGTCTCTCTCTGTCTTTCTGGTGAGCGCACACGCCCTATAGGAAAAACCTCTCAAAAAAAAAAACTTATAAAATTTGTCACATACTTTTATTGTATTTAGTGGGTTTATATATGATGAATGCTTGCACTGAGCAGTGCTTGGCACCCTAGTTTTATGTGCTAACAATTACTGTTGTTTTATAAACACTTAATAGTGTTAGTTGTCATTATATAGGCTTGTATTTTTCACTATTGCCTTTTTTTTTTTTTGAGAGATTTTCACTGTAGGGTGCATGCGCTCGCCAGACAGACAGAGAGAGACATCAGAAAGTGAGAAATCACCCCCCGGGGGGATGGTCACGCCGCAATCCCTTCTCCTCCACTCTCCTCTCGGGATCTTAGGCACGCACGCACACGCACCCAGCATGAGTTTTAAGCCACCGGGTCCGGGACGTGAACCGCGGTCGACTACGTGGGAGTCCAGCGACATAGCCATTACGCTAACTGCTGGTTCCCATTATTGCCTTTTTAAAGTTATTTATTTCTTCCATGGCATAGAAAGAGACAGAACGAGAGAGATAGAGAGATAGGCATCCCTACACACACGTTCATGCCCACGATCCAGGACTGACTGAAATTTTGATATCCACCCCCAGATTTAGCCAGCCCTGGAATATGAGCATACACATGCCCAGCATATTCAGGGAGATCTCTAACATGTGTTCGAAACCTTCTGACATGGGTCAACCTCATTACCGCTATGCCGCCATTCAGCCCCCAACAGCTGTAAATTTTAACAGTAAATAATTGAAGATATAGGGTCATTGGAAAAGTCATGATGTATTTTTATGTTTTTTCTATGCAAAAATGAATCATGACTTTTCGAACAAACTAATACTAATAAGCAAATGGTCATTAGAGGATTAGGAAGCATATCTAAGGACATTGGACTCATCAGTTATAATATTCCTAGCAACTAAGTTCTGCCACATTCATTCATGTTGAATTCAATTAAGATCAAATTGTGTGGTAATATCCATATTCCTAGCAACTAAGTTCTGCCACATTCACTCATGTTGAATTCAAATAAGATCAATTTGTGTGGTAATATCTTTGATTTTATTGTCACATACTGCATGTGTACTTTGAAAAACCATATTTTGTGCTATAGAGATATTTGACAATTAAATGTGAATAAGAAATCATAAATATGGAAAAAAGGGACACAAAATTAAAAAAAATTGTATTTATTGGAAAAAAGAAATCATAAAATATAAAAGAAAGAAAAAAAACAAACAACAACAAAAAATCAGTTTGGATATCAGAGAATCTCTGATTTGTGGTCAAGAAAGGCAAATCTCATATGAGACATGTAGAGTCAGTTTAGTAATGAACAAAAAATGGCCGAAGATTATAATGTTAAACTGTACCTATTTTGGGGGCCAGCATATTGTATAGAGGTTACATTGCTAGACTCTCACATAGGTGACCACAGTCCAAGTCCTGGACCCAATGGCTTGAAACTCATGCTGGGCACATGGGGGTGGGGACCCAAGATTCTGGGAGAAGAATGGAGGAGAAGGAATTGCAGTATGACCATCTCACCTGGGGAGGTGATTTCTCACTTTCCCTCTCACTGTTTCTGTCTCTCTCTCTGGTGACCACACATGCTCTAAGGCAAAAACCTCTTAAAAATACACAATTACCCAGTTTTAGTCTCTCTAAAGAACACATAGCTAGCAATTATTTGTATGTTCTTAGTTTATTTTAAGAAAACAATTCTGGGAACCAGCAGTTAGCGTAATGGCTATGTCGCTGGACTCCCACGTAGTCGACCGCGGTTCGTGTCCCGGACCCGGTGGCTTAAAACTCACGCCGGGCGCGTGTGCGTGCGTGCGTGCCCAAGATCCCGAGAGGAGAATGGAGGAGAAGGGATTGCGGCGTGACCATCCCCCCTGGGGGGTGATTTCTCGCTTTCTGTCTCTATGTCTGTCTCTGTCTGTCTGGCGAGCGCACGCGCCCTACAGTGAAAATCTCTCCAAAAAAAAAAGAAAACAATTCTTATTTTGCCTCTAACCTTCACCTTCCTCCACTTCATCACTGGCTTAAATCTATATCTGGAGTCTCATGGATCTGCCAAATGAATTTTGCTCTATAAAGATTGTCCTGGTGAGTGTTTAAAAATCAGATCTCTGAGAGGTGGGAAGAATCTAAATTTATTCCTGATATAAACACTCTCAGTATGGCTTATTTCAAGCTACTGATATACTGTCATTGAATGCAAAGTTAAGGAGAAATGTGTACAGTCAGGTTACATGAGCTGGTATAAATTGGTTCTAGCAAATCACTGTTTTTTTATATTGTAATCTAAGTGTATCTAGGAGACTTGACAGAAAGCATGGCTTCTTTTACACTGTACTCTCTTGTATTAGTCTTTCCCCAAAATGTGTGTTCATGTTGTCCTTCGATAACAAAGAAATCAGACATCACTGAGGATATTTATGGGATTAGCAAACATTATCAGAACGAGTCAATGACTCTATTTTCCTTTATTATATGTTGGAAAAATATGGGCCATTCATTTCTGAGGCCTCTAAACATGGCTAAGATCATGAATATCGCCTCTGAATCCCACTGAAACTTCCAAACTGGCTAGGTCCCCTCTCTCACAACTAGCAAGGTAGTTGTTAACACAACAGGACATGTGTACAGGTACCTCTCAAGGATGTTATGATTCATGACCAATGCGCAGGATGCCTTGTAATGGTTTTTCATCATGCAGATGAAGCATACAACCCAATTATAGCAGCACTTCTTTTCTCACCAAGGCTTTTCCTCTTCATTGACTAATTTTAGACGCTTCAAAGAAAAGTGTGTCATGAATAACTACTTTGGAATTGGACTGGATGCTAAAATTTCTCTGGAGTTCAACACCAGACGAGAAGAACACCCAAAACAATACAAGTAAGGAAAAGAAATTCCCCTCCCTACATGAAAACACACAACACAGTACATATATGCATTCCTACATTCCTGACCTCTCAGGAAAGCAGTATAAAGAAAGAGATAATTTAGAAGTCAAATGGCTGACTACTCTAGTGGTACAGCTTGCCTCAAATGTTGGGCTACTCTGTGGTGACTGCATTGGAACCCTGAACTTAGAGCTGTCTTCATAGTCTAAACCTGTGGATTCCTGTGTAAACATAGCCACCTGTGTTGCTATAATTGAGAACAAATTACATTGACTCAAATCAGCAAATTGCCTATCTTTGCTCTGTCTCTACAAGATTAACCAGATTTTAGTAAGGGCTTTGCTTGGGAAGACTGTAGAGTGTTGAAGATCCCCTTACAGTTTCTAACCTGGTTATTTGGGGCTGATTTATTTTACTCCAACCACTGTTGATCATGGTTTGAGACTTGGACCCGGAGGCTCAAAACTCACTCCAGGCACATGTGCATGCACATGCATTCCCAAAATCCTGAGAGGAGAGTGGGAGAGAAGAGATTGCAGCATGGCCGTCCCCCCGGGGGGTGATTTCTCTCTTCCTGTCTCTTTGTCCCTGTCACTCTGCTGAGCACATGCACCCTATGGTAACAGTCACTTTCTTAATAAAAACAAGTTGTGACTTTTGCTGAGATCCAATTGATCATTTTTTTCTTTATGGTCCATGCTTTGGCACCGTCTTAGAAATCTTTACCTAACCTAAAGTCTTGAAAATTTGCTTCAATGTTTTCTTCTAATTTTAAAGATTATTTTATTCCTTATATACAAGTCTATGATCCACAGAGAGTTAATTTTTGCATATGGTGTGAGGTGAGGGTCTAACTTCATCAGCATATGGATATCCATTTATTCAACTCCATTTTTGTTTTAGAGGTTTTTGCGATAGGGCGCGCACGCTCGCCAGACAGACAGAGAGAGACAGAGAGACAGAAAGTGAGAAATCACCCCCCAGTGGGGATGGCCACGCTGCAATCCCTTCTCCTCCATTCTCCTCTTGGGATCTTGGGCATGCATGCACACACGCCTGGCATGAGTTTTAAGTCACCGGGTCTGGGACTCGAACTGCGGTTGACTACATGGGAGTTCAGCAACATAGCCATTATGTTAACTGCTGGTCCCAACATTTTTTGATTTTGATCTATTAAAACTAAACTTTTTTTGAAATTAAAAATGCATTAAAAATACCTATTAATGCCTATTTAATGACTGTAGTAAACTATATAACCCCAGTGAGGTGCTACTTCATAGTATATTCACTTTACTCGCTGAGGTTTATGCCTAAAGTCAGACCTTCATTCATAAATATGTATATACCAGCTGTGCTTGCTATTGAAAGTCTTTAAATTAATTATGATCTTGGGACCAGCAGTTAACATAATGGCTATGTTGCTGAACTCCCATGTAGTCAACCGCAGTTCGAGTCCCAGACCCGGTGGCTTAAACTCACACCGGGCACATGTGCATGCGTGCCTAAGATCCCAAGAGGAGAATGGAGGAGATGGGACTGCTGAGTGACCATCCCCCATGGGGGGTGATTTCTAGCTCTCTGTCTCTCTGTCTCTCTCTGTCTTTCTGGCAAGCACACAGGCCCTATAGCAAAAACCTCTCAAAAAAATTAATTATGATCTTTATTGAATCAATATAATGTGAAAAAAAGGTATGGAAAAAAAGACAGTGTGGGAGAAGGGGCGGAATTGGCAGACAGTGAGAGGTAGGGAATCAAGGGCGGGGAAGTATATAAGAAACTAAAAACACAAAATTATTTGTTGATGATAACATGTATGGCAATATCCTTGACTGAGCCAATATACAATGTATACTGGATGGAAAATCTCATTTTCCATACTGTATTGATGTACAGTGAATGACTGTAAATAAATAAATAAAATTGCAGTGTAAGAGTTCAGGTGTTTCAAATTAATTTGATTCTAAACAGCTGAAATTCTTTGCTCCTAGAGTGACATTGTCAGGGTACCTGGTATACACCAGCCAGTGATACTCACAGCTCTTTATGAGCATTGATTTCTGAATATAGCTTGTTATTTCCAAGTCTACACCAATATTCACAACAAGAAGTTGAAAATTGCCCTATTGATAGGATTATGAGATTGCAATGAGGCTCATGAACCTATTTCTGCAAGTATTTGCACAGAGATATCAGTTATGCTATTGCAGCAGCCCCTCTTGTATCCAGCTGCCATTCAGCACAACTTCTCGTTGTACAAAGGCACCTGAGAAACGAGATGGACTCCCTTCTTCTCTTTCCCCATCCATTCATATTCATAATCACCTTTATCTCCTATAGTAGCCGCCTTAAAAACAAGATGTGGTATGGCCTTCTAGGAAGCAAGGAACTTTTGCAGCGCTCCTACAGGAAACTGGAAGAACGAGTACATCTGGAGGTTAGTGGAAAAGGGATTGGGCATGGAGGAAAAAAAAATGTCACTAACTTTAGAATCGATTTTTCTGTATATCCTTGGTTCTTCTGAAGATTTAACACTATGATCCTGATTCACAGCTCATGGGAGGAAGACATGAAGATGGATTTCCATTTTATGAATCAGAAAATGTTAGCATGAAGAGAATATATATAGTACCATACCCCATGTCTATAAATCTGTCTTCACATTGCTATCTGCAGAGTCAGCTAGTGAGACCTACTCTTTTCTTTCAGTGTGATGGAGAAGCCATCTCTTTGCCAAACCTGCAAGGCATTGTAGTGCTCAACATCACCAGTTATGCTGGAGGGGTCAACTTCTGGGGAAGCAACATAGCAACTACAGTGAGTATGGAGCAAGGAACAGAGAGAGAAAGGTATGACCCCATTAAACTCTCAGAAAGGAGAGTTGGGCTGACCATATGGAAAGTGGACGATGGGGGAAGAAGAGGTGGTCTGGGAAACATTATTATCAACAGTTGTATGATCAGGATTTTTTTTTTTTTGGAGAGATTTTCACTGTAGGGCGCGTGCGCTCGCCAGACAGACAGAGAGAGACATAGAGACAGAAAGCGAGAAATCACACCCCAGGGGGGGATGGTCACGCCGCAATCCCTTCTCCTCCATTCTCCTCTCTGGATCTTGGGCACGCACGCACACGCGCCCAGCGTGAGTTTTAAGCCACCGGGTCTGGGACACGAACCTCGGTCGACTACGTGGGAGTCCAGCGACATAGCCATTACGCTAACTGCTGGTTCCCCCAGTTTTTAAAGCAGTTACCATTCCAGAGTAGAAGAATCAACCAAAGACCTCAGGATTAGGTCAACTCTTAGACGTAGACTGGTATTTGAATTTTCCCCTCCTCAGGTCTGACAGATCTTTGAAAATTTACATACTCCATGTTTTTTCCTTCAAATAATTCTATCAATAAAATCCCCAGGGAAGCTGTCCATAAACACCTTCCTCTGAACTCACCAAAGAAGACATGAAGCCAATGAGACTGGTCTTGGGGATTTATGATGCTGGATTGGACTGAGAGTAAACCAGCTAAGAGCTATGATGCCAGTGTCCTTTTCCCAGACTGGCTTCCTGACATTTTCTTTTCCCATTTTATTTTCCCCACTCTTCATGAGCTAGAAAATTTCTCACTAAGAACCCTCAAAGCACACCTGTTTATTGTACCTGGGGCGTGGTTTCTCAAGAGTGGAAGATGTGACACAGTTCTAATCCTCCTCAGGAATATGAAGCTCCTGCAATGGATGATGGGAAGCTGGAGGTAGTGGCAATCTTCAGTTCCATGCAGATGGCAATGTCTCGTATCTTCAACCTACATCATCATCGCATTGCCCAGGTAAGCAGGGGCTGATTAGACGCCAGGAAGGCACTGAGATTTCATTCTGAAACCCAGGATAAGTGTCCAAGACTTGACTGGGAATAAGACTGCAAGGGTAGGGAAGCAAGTTATCTGGTGGGCAGCAAGGTGCTGGTTAAAGTTGGAGACCCATGTAATAGGGACCAAAAGAGCAAAAAGCCCATAGGAAACAGGTGTTTCTCTCTAAGATAATCTGTGTAACATTCTTTTTTTAAAAAAGGATATTTATTAATTTTTATTCATGATAGATAGTCTGTGTGAACACTAAAGAAAGGGAGATAGAGATGCACCCTCAGTAGGGTCTCATCACACTGCTTTCCCTTTTCTCAGCCTTCCACATTTGTCAGGATTGTAGGCACATGCACCACATGCACATGTGACTGGCATGTTTTCAAACTGATCCACGGATCCAAACCCACAGCTGGCCATGTGGATCCCAGAAATCAAAGTTCAATTTGTTACCTACTATGCCACCAAACTGGGCCAGATTCATGTGCTTACCAGATCTGCTACAGGTACACATTCAGTCTGGGACTGAGAGTTTATCAGATTGATACAGCACTTGCCTCATACTCTCCCTCTTCTCCTTTTCTTCTCTGGCAGTGTCATGAGGTAATGATAACCATTGATGGTGAAGAAGGTATCCCAGTGCAGGTGGATGGGGAGGCCTGGATTCAGAGGCCAGGCCTTATCAAGATTAGATACAAGAATGCTGCCCAGATGCTGACAAGAGATCAGGTAAGAGAGAAAATTCTCCCTCTGGGCTCCTACAGTGCCTCATCCAAAGCTGTCACTTGAGTACTGAATATCACATCAAGAAGAATTCCCCAAAGGGAGATTTGCATGCCCTTTGCCTCTGAGGTTCTGGTTATAAATGTGCATTCCTGGACCTCACATCAGACCCATTGGATAGAATGGGAATGGGTAGCTTTATAAACAAGCTCCCCAAGACATTCTGATATATACTGACACTTGCAGACCACTGTTTGGGACTGTGTGATAAGGAGCTCTGTCAATGATTCTGGACAAGGTCACCCTCCTCTCTCTACTGCACAGAAAACTAAAGGTCTCAGGTACTTATGGAGAAAGCTACTCCCTCAACAACAGGTTCTGCATTGAATATGGTCTTTATGCTCATTTAAGGTTCCTCAGAATGCTGCATTCATGAATGTTACTCATTTAGCTAAACCTTCCAAAGCTAAGAAGGAGCTGTTACTGATGAGATGTCCAGTGTTGGAAACTGTCTTCCACTCTGACCTATAGTTGTCCATAGAAATAGAGATAGAGAGGGAGGGGTAAATCAAGTTTATAAAATGCCTATTTTGTTCTGGGCCCTCGCCATGTATTTTCTCATGTAGGTCTTTCCAACAATCCTATGAAGTGGGTACACTTATTCCCATTTTACAGATAAGGACCATAGAAGTTAAATAATTTGTTAAGGGTCACACAACTAATAAGTGTCAAAAGAATGATTCACAATAAGACATATCTGGCTGTAAACTTCATAACAACATATTGCCTTGATTTGGCAAAGAAGGAAGGATGAAAGATTATCCATTATCTTATTTGTCATGATGCCTTCATATAGGAGCATTTGTAAGAGAGACATCTGTCTTGTTTAAGAATAGCATCCCACCACCCAGCATACTGACAACAAAAACTGTAAGTGCCTAGGAGAGAAGAAAAATTGAATAAAATGATGGATAGTTGAATATGTATATAGATGGGTATATGGGGAATTGAGAGGGGTCTGTCCTTGCCCTTTAACTGCTATACCTATAGAACATCCACTGATGTCAAACTCAAAGACAGTACCCTCTTAGCTACAGCAATCATTAGGATCTGCCACTATTTGAATCTCCAGGACTTTGAGAACTCAATGAAAATGTGGGAGTGGAAGCATACTGAGATTCAAGGTGCCCCTCAGCCCCAGCTGGACTCCCAAGAAACTCAAGACAGCCTCTCTGACGAGGAGTATGTCCAAATGCAGCACTTAGCTCAGCTTGCAGAAAATCTCATCAGCAGGTAAGTGGACAGGGTTAGATACAGGGCTAGGAATTCCAAGAACAGACAGGGAGGAACAACTAGTTTGTGTCTGTTGGCTGTCAGGAGTCTGGACTCAGAAAGGAGTCATACCTAAAGCTACAGAAGTTGACTCAGGCTCTCATGATCCAGGAAGGAAATATTCACTGTGTTCAGTAATAAACCATCTTTGACATCTCTCACTAGACCTTTTTATGAATGTTGATCTTCTGATTCCCAAGACCAACCAGAAGTAAGAATGTTTTTCCTGCCCTTAATATGAGAAAGGCCTCAGAGTTTCTGGAGTCTGAGGCATGCCATCCTCTGTTTTAGCTTCCCACCTTACCCAAGTCCCCAGTATCTAAATTCAAGTGAGACAAAAATGGACAAAGGAAAATACCCAGAGGAGAATAGAAATATTTCTGGCATCAGTAACTGCCTAGAGAAGAGCAGAAATAATACGGCAGAGGAGAGTCCAAGTCTGGTACCCAGATCTTTCATACCCTTATCCCTACTTCACCAACACTCCAGACCAGGAGTCCTTCAGAACTCCTAGCTCATCTCTCTGTACTTGTCTTATTACAGACTTACTGACCTGAGCAAGGTCCACCAGCATGTGTCTGTCCTCATGGATTCTGTGAACGCCAGTGCTGATATTCTGAATGATATATTTTATGGTCAAGACAGTGGCAATGAAGCAGGTGTAGCTTCCTGTACTCCTATTGAGGTGAGGGGGCGAAAGGAGTCAAATCAAATAGGAAAATGAAGGAAAAAGAAGGAAAAGGAGCTTACAGCTGGATGGAGAAACTGTTGATATGGTAGTTAACCAAAGGGTAGAATATATCAGAAGACAGCATTCCTTGACTTGTTATAGGTCTAAAGTTGCTACTAGGGGAATTCCACAGCAGATTACATCAGCCTGAGAGCTTGCCGTCTCCCAGACTCAGGAGAGAAATGGTTAATGAATAAAGAGAAACTTGGCTGTAGCCCTTCCTCATCCCAGAGGATCTATTGGAACCAAAATTCAAGGTGTCACGGTTTCCCTCTTGAGGGAAAAACCAAGATCAAGATGATGTTAAATGTGCCATTACATGTCTTTACCCACTGCCAGAATGTTCAATTCATGCTTATAAAACATAACTTCAGCGCTAGGTAAAAGAGTCAGGGCATGTTAAAATATGGATTAACTACTATAGGTCAGTTCTAAGTTGGAGGAGGCCTAGAGTCCGGGGGCTAGTTTCAAAAAGAGATATGGCTGGGTCAACTATGGGAAATATGGTTTTAGCCTGGGACAAGTGGCCTCGAATTTACTCTCTGATTTGCATATTTTCTATTTTCTTATACTCATTGCAACTAATCAAAAATGCCAAAATCCAGAATGTGCTGTGCCACTTTAAAGGACATACCAAGACCTCTGTACCAGGAGTTTGCAGCTGACATCATTTCTGACTGGCTGGTACTCATGCTGTATTAGTCATGCTAAATTTTGAATATTACTTTTTTGCCTGCAGCCAAGTCCTACTAGCCTTCTCCTACCTTTTCACAGAAGAGCCAGCTGCATGCTCACTAACCAAAGACTTCTCTATGTCTTTTCCCTTCATTTCTATTCCTTTCTTCTCCACTCAGACCTTAAGCAGAAATGATGCAGTAAATGTTACATTTAGTCTTAAAGGACTCTACAATGACACCAAAGCTTTCTTGGATGAAAACTTGGTGAGTACAGTGGGTTGGAATATGGGAGGGCAAAGTGTCCCATTTGAAAATGGCTACAGTCTGTGCTCAGTTCTAGGGCATTGGAGACATGGAACCATTTTGATCAGGTGCTTGCCTGGCAGTCTGTGCTGTGTCACCCAGAATTGTCACTGATTGTATCACTTCATAGGTTATGCTAATCTACAGAGACTACCATACCCTTGAAATCTTTCCCTCTCCTTTGACAAATGTCTCCTGAGTCCGAACCAGGTCAATGTAGAGTGTTCATATTTTACTTAATACATCTGGAGTAGAAAAAGGTGAGCCCTTCTGAGCTGCTATGTATCTCCTAAGTTTCTACATACCCCTTTCACCATGTGGTAAAGCAGTATGTAATAGTGGGAAAATATGTGGATCTCTGGGTTCAAATTCCAAATCTACCACTTATTATTTGCATTCCCTTTCCTAAATCTGCCATAACATAGTACCAAGAACTTGGTGAGTTAAAACAAAAGTAACTTACTAACAGTTTTGGAAGCTAGAAATCTGAAATCAAGGTGTCAGCAGGGATGTGTTCCTGGAGAGAAATCCTTCTTTATCCCTTTCTAGTTTCCAGTGGTAGATTGGCAATCTTCGATGGTCCTTGGCTTGTAGATGCATCACTCCACTCTTCCATCTGCACGTGACATTCTCCCTACGTGTCTCTGTCTTCACATGACCATCTCCTTATAAGGAAAAGTCATATAGTATTTGGGTTTACCGTATGGAATATGACTTCAATATCTGATTACATCTGCAATGACCCTTTTTTCATGTAAGTTCACCTTCAGAAGTATCAGGGGTTAGGATTTTAGCATATCATTTTGTGGGGAAAGATACCTTTCCATCCATGACACCAACTTTAAAAAGTAACTTCATCTCTCCAGATTTTAGTTTCCATAGCTACAAAATAGGAATTATAATCTCTACTACTCCAGGTTGTTGAGAGGACTAAAAGAAAACTATTGTCTATTAATTCCCCAGCAGGGCTTGGCACATAGTAGCAGCTCTAAAGATGGTCATTTTTGTTGACTTCCAGGGATAATGGACTATAAAACCAGTTGCATGTTTCTCAGAATGCAAAGCCTTTGGCCACACATGTTAAATATACTCTTGTGAGGTGGCTAATCATGACCATCCCTGTGGGGTTGGCTTGTAAGGCCCTGAGGCAGGTGCTGAACTTGCCTGTCATCTAATTGTTTATTTGAAGAGGAGCTTATGAGTTGATATTGTCAGAAGGCCATTCACTGCTCCTTTTCTTTTGCACATATAATTGGCACACTGAGCAGGAGGCAGAAGGGCTAAGGTAATCAGTCTAGGCTGTCTCAACATATGAACCCCAAGCTAGAGTCTTTCAACCTTAGACATAACAGAAAGACCTTCTATATATAGGCAGAGATCACTGGCCTTACCAGTTTTAGCAGGAAAAAAGTATGGGACTTTGGCCTCAAATTACACTCAGGCTATCTTTTTTTTAAATTTATTTTATTATTTTATGTTACAATTTTTTATTTACATGTCATTATTGTATATGTTTGTGAGGTATAATATGGTTTTACAAAGCATGCTTGCAATGTGTGATTTACTTTCAGAAAATTATAAAATCCTTGTAATAAATGATATCACAGGAAGACAAAAGAGTCTTCAAAATTATTATTCTTAAATCATTTGAATCTAAAAGCCTTGTATATCTTATATATAAAAAAGAGTAGTAGAAAGCCGATAATTAGATCATTGTGAATTACAATGCAAATAGGATGCCGTTCTGAAAAGGTACACATCTTTTTTTGCTGTAAAATATTTTAGTTTTTGGAGCCAGAAGGTGGCATGATGGTTAAGGGTGCTGGATTGCCACATGGCCGATGGCAGTTTGGATCCCAGACTTGGCAGTTTGCTTTCTCACTTTCCTTCTCTCTCTCTTTCTCTGTCCCTCTCTGGTCAAATTTAAAAAATAAATAAATAAAGTTAAGTAATAATTCTTAAAAAAAATATTTTGTTTTTGAATTTATTTTATACACTTAATCACACTATATCACTTTCCTTGTGAACTGAATTTACCCAACATGAATACATCTCACACCAGTTCAGCTGAGGATATTATACATGTTATCATCAACAGACAGCAATCCATTTCTGTGTCCCATAAATATGTTGCCTCTCTATTTTTCTCCTTCATTTCTTTCCTCACACTTTTCCCCTTTTCTGACCCACAACCTACACTGTCTCTAGTATCCATAACCATTTTCCATACTTCTATATCCTTTTACTCTTTCAGTTTCCACATTCAGCTGAGGATATTATACATGTTATCATCAACAGACAGCAATCCATTTCTGTGTCCCATAAATATGTTGCCTCTCTATTTTTCTCCTTCATTTCTTTCCTCACACTTTTCCCCTTTTCTGACCCACAACCTACACTGTCTCTAGTATCCATAACCATTTTCCATACTTCTATATCCTTTTACTCTTTCAGTTTCCACAATAGAGTGTGGACAATCGGTATATATTAAGTAGATACATACAATGTCTCTCTTTCATAGCTTGGCTTGCTTCACTCAGCAGTAAATTTTCCATATTTGTCCACTTTCTATAAAATGCCAGGATCTTGTTTTTTTTTTATGGCTGAGTAGTATTCCATATCCATTCATCTGTTCATGAATATTTGATTCCATGTCTTAACAATCATGAATAATACCATAAACATGTATGTACACTTTTCCAACTGAGTGTTCTCCTTTCCTTTGGGTAGATACCCAGGAGTGGAATCCGTGGGTCATATGGTTGTTCTATTTACAGATCTTTGAGAAAACTCTTTATTATTCTCCACAGTGGCTGGACCAATTTACATTCCCACCAACAGTAAAGAAGAGTTCCTCTTTCTCCACAGCCCCACTAGCACTTATCGCTTTTGTTATTGTTGTTGCTGTTGCAGGGATAAATCTGAATACTTTTTAAATATATTTTTAATTTCAATTTCTTTTATACGTTCAATCACATATGTCACTTATCTTACAAAATGAATATTACAACATGTACACATTTCTCACCAACCCAGTTGAGAATACTATGCACATTTTTTTTTCAATCTTTGCCATTATGTCTGGGTTTAGGTGGTAACTCATTGTGGTTTTGATCTGCATATCCCTTATAATAAGGGATGTTGAGCATTTCCTCCTATGATTTTTGCCTATTCATATGTCTTCCTTAGAGCATTGTCTATCTTCCTCAGAGAGTTGTTTGTTCAGCTTATTCTCCTATCTTTTAATTGAGTTGACCATTTTTTTCAGGTAAACCACTTGAGTTCCCCATGTATAATGGTTATTATCAGTCCCTTATCTGAGGCATAGTTTACAAAAAATATTCTCCCATTCCGAAGATTGCTGATTCACACTAATTACTGTGTCTTTTGCTGTGCAGAGACTTCTTAATATGATGTAATTCCAGTTATCTATTTTTGGGATTATTGTCTGTGCTTTGGGGGTCTTAAGAAGTCTTTCGCTACCCCAATGTCTCCCAGAGTTTCCCCAATGTTTTCCACCAGTAGTTTTATAGTTTGAGTTCTTAAGTTTAGATCTTTGATCCACTTTGAGTTAACTTTTGTAAATGGTAAGAGATAGGGGTCCAGTTTCATCTTTTCACTTAAGCTATCTTGAGGCTCATGAATATTGGTTTGTGCCAGCCAACATCACAACTTCAGCACATACTACACTTGGCAAGGCTCCTACCTAATAGGACCCAATGAGGAACCTCCAACACACACACACACACACACACACACACACAAATAAGGCCTGGAGACAGGAAACAGCTAACAAGAATGACAGTGTATTTCCAAAAAGGCTGTTATAGAGGTAGAATGGAGGTAAAGCTTGTTTTTTGGGGGTTATATTATTCCTCCCCTTGAAGGAGGAGGATAGTAAGGAGCTCAGAATTTGTGAGGGATATAGATTTATGATAAAGTGAATCCTGCCAATTCCTACTTCCCTTGTTTTCCCAACATGTCCTGTGCATCTGGGCCACTATGAATTGCCCTAACTCATTAGTTGTAAAACAAAAGAGCTTATTCACCAGCACTGACTTGTGTTTTCCTTGTGTCCCATTCTGATTGGCCATAGCCTTCCCACTCTATCCCTTGACCACTCACTTGCCACTCATTTGTGACATATACAAGGTTCTACATATGGCTGGAGCAGCAAGAGTCCCACAAACAGCAAGAAGCCACATACATGTCAGATTGAAAGGAGAGCTCATGCCTGAGAGGAAACATGAGGCCAGGTTAAGGGAGATGTAACATGCCAGGGCTAAAGAAATCAGCTTGCCTCCTTGATCGCAGCTTACTACTTACTGGAACATGAACTATCTCACTTATGTTGATGGTCTAGAACTTGGCCTTTTTAAGTTGGAAATGGTCCCACAAAAATGTACTTTGTTCTCCTGTGAACCATACAGAGTTCATTCTGTGGCTGCTGACTATTACTAGGATACATTTCAACTTTGTTTCTTTAACTTCTGGGACAAACCACCTGAACTAATTTTCTGATTACTAAGAATGACTACCTAGAGGGTAAAGCACAGCCTAGGGAGGCAGACCCCCCCTTCCCTTTTCCAGGAAGGGAAAAATTGAGCCAGTCTCTCTCTAGCCCTCTCTCTTTGCTTCACACATTAAAAAAAAAAAAAGCCTTCAAAATGCATTAAGTGTGTAATAAAGATTCCCTCTAGTATCTGGCACCCCAAATGTTCTTTCTGGGGCAGTGTCATAAACAGTGTAGGCTATAGAGTTAAAGGGACCCAGGTCTGTCTAACCATGTGATCTTGTGCACTAAACTTTTCATCTGCTTTCTTACCTATGAAATGAGAACAATAGTACCTTGTGAGGTATTGCAAGGTTATAGGGAAGTGTCTGGTATAACATTTGTGCTCAAAACTTGAGTGCTGTTATTTAGAGGAACACTAAATTATCTCTAGGGACTTAAGGAAAAGAGTAGGACCCTTGTCCTAGAGCCTAAACTCACCTTAATTGACAATGATCAAAAGACTTCTCTGTTAATCAAACAATAAGCATGGCCGGTCCCTAGAAGAGCCCCCACCATCCAGATCTCCCTATTGAGAAAGACAGCAGACTACTGACTACAGACTAAAAGAGAAGTTGTGGTTTCTTGGCCTCCAAAGAGGACTTAGAAGATGGGAAGATGGCAAGAGTCTATATAGAGAGGTGCTAGATGTGGGACACTCACTCTTTTTCTGTCTGTACTAGCTGAGAAATGCTGATGATGAGGCCACCCTACAAACCATTCTGGATGCCATGAGTAAGGAGTTCGAAAAACTATCTGAAATCAATGGGATGAATTCAATCCTTGTTCTGGAGGTGTGTGTCTTAGTCCATTTCTACATTGCTAACAGAAATATTTGCAATGGAGTGATTAATAAATATAATAGAGATTTATTTGCAAGGTCACCATTCTAGTGGCTGAAAAGTTCACATGTATTACAGAATAGCAGAAGACAAAACTTTTAACAAAGCAGAGGGTAGTCTTTATTCATGAGTTGATCTCATTTGTTCTAGTCTCT